TTGTTTATATACACTTTCTTTACATATAATGGACTAACGAGAATTCTTATTTTTCTAGCTATTCTAATTTTTCTCGCTATTACAATTTTTCTCGCTATTACTATTTTTCTCTGAATTTCGAGAATTATAGGAATTCTAGGAATTTCGGGAATCCCAAACTATTCTAGCCCTCGAGTTCTACTAATAAGGTAAGGTAACTAACTAAAAATAGGAATAATACTAAATATAAAATGAAAACAATAAAAGAAAAAGTATATAGGTCGGTTGATGCCCCGGAGCCCTTCACAATTCATAATGCACTGAAAAGAATTAATAGTTCGGATCTCTTAATAGTGATTTGCCTTTCTTTGATTTCTAATCACAAATTCAATTTGACTAAATAAATTAAATGTGATCGTGACCAATCTAAGTTGCGACTGTATTGCTCTCCTGTAACAATATATATTGCATATCGTTATTGGTCAAATGACATGTCAAATCTAATTTTTTTTATGTAATTATCGATTATAATGAGAAAAAAATTATAACTCTTTTTCGACTTTACACATTTATTTTATAGTTTTAGAAATTCTTTTATGTAAAGTCTGGATGGCAATTAAAATAAAATTTAAAAGGATCATTTACCAATACGATATCGAATTTATTAACGGCTCTTATTTGACATTAATTGACATAATGGACTTGTCGACACATTATAACCTTTCTTTTTAATACGGTATTTCTTTCTTTCAAGAAAGGAGGGCAAACAGTCAATGTCATTTAATTAATATGCTCTTATTGCATTGATTATTTGAATTCATCTATTCTGATAAATTGTTTTTAATAATTTTATTACTAAAAATTTTTATTTTTTATCTTGGTGAAACAATTCTAATAAATCTAAAATAACAAATCTATTTTTTAGTTAAGTTCCCTAATTAAAGATGTGATACGTTCAAATGAATAATCGTTCAATCCTTGATCACACCACTATCCTTGATTAAAAATCAATAATACCTAAAATAGGTTATGCTCAAATGATTTCCTATGTATGAACTAACCAATATAATGGAACAAAATTTACAGAAATCGCCATATAGACAAATAATAAATAAATAAATAAATTTATTTATAATTATGAATTCACGAATAGTTTTAAAACTTAATTAAAAGTAAAACCTAATTCCAACGGATATAGTTTCCCTTTTTACTTACACATATATAACTAATTCTTACTTTGACTATTACGCCATTCACGTTATAAGTCATCATGCAGCTATACAATCCAATTAATCCAATCATGTTACCAAAAATATTACGTATATCTGATATCAATACTGTAAATATAAGTTCGGTAAAACAAAATAACCATATACGGGGAGCGCCTAAATTCAAACAGAATTTAGATTTATCACGTGTTTATTATGTAAATAAAACTTATGATAAAGTTTAACCGTAGCACAGTTTCATTGAGATCGCATAATCAAGGATCTAATTACCGTTATTAACAAATGTGTAAACGCAAGGTACCCCATATATACCATCCGGGAGATAATTTCATCTCTTCCGTCCGGTAGAATATAAAAATTTAAAATATTTATTTTAGGAAACTCATTTATTAAATAGATTTTTTTCTTGATTGTGTATGTTACTCATACCTACGATAAAAAAATAAAATTTTTTAATGATGATAGAATAATTTATCTTTAAGTAAAATATATTTGTAATCTTTATACATTAACGTTTAATACCATAGTAAGATATATTGTATTATATTTATATATTAGATGAAATAATACAAAAAGATACAATTTAAGATTTTTAATTTAAAGCAATAAAATAAAATAGGTAATCGTTTACTTGTATGTTTGCTATCTTTTTTTCCGATCAAATCATTGTCAATAATATTTTAAGTTTGTAAGTACAGTATGAATGATGCTTAATTTTCGAAGTACACTATGGTAAGTGATTTTGACGATACGTATTATTAATTCATGCATATAATCTCTCCATTACTACATTGCATAAATGTTATTTCAAAAGTATAGATTAGTGAATACCACTTTTTTGATACGTAGAATAAAGTTTTAAAACTGTAGTACTATATATATACATAGTGTATATTAGACATTAAGTGATATACTAAGTTATGATCACAACAAACATAAGATACTTTACTTTTCTAGATCCTATTTTAGAATCTGAACTATATCAAAAAGTATGTTCTTTACAAATATATACATAAAACTATTAATATAGCAGACCAATTTTAAATTAATTATAATATTAATAAAATATGCGATAAATAAATTAATTTGAATCATTAGTTTTTTTCTTTGTTTTATTCAATTCGGAGAAGTAAATGCAGAATATTTTTGATTTGACTTTATTTCCATATTTTTGTTTATATTTATCTATATTTGTCTAATCCAAGCATAAATTTAACGCCTAAAAAGAAATCTTTAAAGAAAATTTTTCGTTTATAAATAAGTCGAAATAAAAACATTTTTTTTTTTTTTTTTTTAACTAAAATTTTTTTTTTAATTTTTCAAAATGATAATAAAAATTTTTCGTGTTATTACATTATTTGTAATTACAATATTACAATTTTACTTGTTTGTAAATGCAACTCCAATTTTTAATCCATCTAATTCAGGAATTATAAAAATTCCTTTAACAAAATCCCGTAGATCAGATATAGATCCTGTATTATTATCATTATTAAAACGTGATCCTCAAGCAACTATACCTGTAAATTATCATGTTGTACGTTATACTGCCTCGATATTAATAGGTGGTCAACCCCTTACTATATTGTTTGATACCGGATCGGATGACCTTTGGGTTCCAAGTGTTTACTGTACCAGCACTTCATGTACAAATAGTACTCTATATGATCCTAGAAAATCTTCTACATATAAAGAAGTTGCTTCTCCAAATAATTTTACTATAAGGTATGGTTCTGGTGTTGTAAGCGGTTATACAGGTCAAGAAACTGTTAAGCTTGGTGGAATTTCTATAACACAACAAATTTTTGGTTTAGCAACTTCAGTTACAACTAATTCTTATAGTGATGGTGGTATTATGGGTATTTCATTTTTTCAATCTAATGCGCCCGGTGTAGTACAAACAATGAAAGCTCAAAAAGTAATTAATAAAGCTTTAGTCGGATTTAGTTACACGGGAACTGATAACAATAATTATGTAACATTTGGTGACGTTCCTAATGAATATGCAAATAGTATTTCGTATAATAAAGTAGTTGATAATACTACATGGCAGATTTTATTGAGTGATATTACTGTTGATGGAACTTCACTTGGAATTAGGACAAATGCCTTAGTTGACGCAGGTAAGAATATTAATTCCTTTTTTGTGATAAATAATAATTAAATCGGATTATCATAAAAGCCCATAAAACCTCTTTTATAACCCTAAAAAAAAAAATTCAAAAAAAATGCACGCCAAAAAATTTTAAATATTCATATGGGTGTTGCCAAGAATTCTTAAAATAGATTATTATAAAATTCTTAATCTATTTTTAGAATTCTTTGTTTTCACTTTTCAATCTGATTTCATTTAATTAGTCACAATTAATCTTTATAAATTTTTTTGTATAACTAATTAAATAATTTCTTACTATTATTTTTTTTTTTTCAAATAGGTTCTACCCTTATGTATGGCTCTTCTCAACAAGTTTCTGCCATTCACTCAAAAATTAGCGGTTCTTCTAATAATTCTAATATATGGTGGATTCCATGTAACACTAAATCCGTAATCTCTTTAGTAATAGGTGGTATATCATATGATATTAATCCCACTCATATGGCAAGAAATAGAAATTCTACATCTGGACTATGTAGATCTGGAATACAAGCACAACCATCTAACGTTAATGCAAACTTTTTTTCGATCGGTCAAGTATTTTTGAATAGTTTTTTTGCTGCATTTGATATTGATAATAAGCAAATTGGCTTTGCTAAAACTGTGGTAAGGACAAATTCTTAATATATCATAATTAAAATTTTAAATTTCTTATTTCTTATATATGAATGTTTTAATAATAATAAAATTCTTTAATTTATTATTAGGAAAATGGAACTGGGAATAAAAATAATGATAATGGAGATAATAAAAATGGAAATAATGGAAATAATGGAAATAATGGAAATGGAAATCAAAGTTTTAAAAAATCTAATGCAAATAAAAATAATTTTAATTTATTATTTTTTATTATTCATAGTTTTATTATTACTATGATCTTATTATATTAGATTTTCATTTTTTTTTCCGACAAATATTTCCTAATAATTTATTCTTATAAAAAAATTTTTGGTGGTGAAATTATTTGTAATTTTAACTTTATTGTATTAATAGTTTTTGTATTAATAGTTTTTAAAATTTTATAATAAATTAAAAAATTATTATTTATCTAAATAACAACTTGGTTATTGAAGTTAATTTTATATTATAAAATATAAATGCAAAAGAAATTTTCTATACTTTTTATTAAAGTTATTAAAAGTATAATTGTTGAATTTTTACAATTTTATAAGTTATTTTTAGGTATCCTAATTATTTATTATAATTATTAACTAAATAATAAGAAATGCAATAATATATAGTAAAAAGATGAAAATTAAGTTATGATATTTGTAAATAAACTCATCTATCAGTTGTAGGTAATTCGGGAACCAAGTTGATTCCGAATTAAGTTAAAATTCTAACTACAATACGTTAAAAAAAAAAAAAAAAATTACAGATATAATATAACCAGCAACAAGAAGATAATAGACGGTTTGTGAAATAAAAGTTTTACGGCATCTTATTAAAAGGTTTTTCTTCAATATTGACTAAATATAAAAAACTTTTTTTTAAATAAAGATATATTCATCTTGGGTTATATTTTATGTTAAGAAAATTTGTAAAGTATAATAAATAATTAAAAGTTATTCATACAATGTATTTGAATAAACTTCTGTCACCACGTAAGATTCCATTACCACTTAATTACAGATATAATGCATGTAAAAAACACATAAAATTCAAATTACAATTTTCTTGGTTTTATTTATTTATTTATTAATAATTTATTATTTATTTATTTTTATTTTTTTTGGATTTTAATAACGGATTTTTTCTATTTTGGTACATATAAAAAGTGCATTATTACATTAAAAAAAAAAAAGCCTAATAAATGTAATTTATTTGTGTATTAAAAGAAATTGCAATTCGAATTACTGGTAAAAATAAATAAAAAAAAACGTTGTTATGTTAAAAATCATTAAGAGAAAT